AAAGACGCCGGGAGTGGACGCGACAACCCGCGACCGCCCGCGACGCCCCGCCACGGCCCGCCACGGCCCGCCACGCCCCGCCACGGCCCGCCACGCCGCGCCACGCCCCGCGACGCCCCGCCACGCCCCGCCACGCCCCGCCACGCCCCGCCACGCCGCGCCACGCCCCCCAAGGCGAGAAGAAGGACGCGGCTGGGTGGCCGGTCCCCTGGCCGTGCCGCATCCCGCCCACCACCGCCACCAGCGTCCGGTCTGTTTGTTTTAATGCAATATCCTCTCCCCGCAGCGCCGACGGACGCCGCGCGCAGCCCCGGACCAAACTGACCGAGTTCTTTTGTCCCCGCCTCCCCCCGGTCCGCTGCCCCGCACTCCTCGAAACTTGTGCAGCACCGTACTTTTTCCCCTCTCTTGGTTCACGTGGATTGGTCCTGTTGCCCTCACGACGCCCCACGCGGCCCCTGCATCCCCCGCAGGCAGGCAGTGCGACGACGGCGACGTGCCGGCCCGCCCGACATGGCACACGCTCAGTCGTGGCCTAGCCCGTAATGGTAATGGTAAAAAGGGGTAGGCAACGCGGCTGCTCGCCAGCCGTGCGGGACTGCCTACCTCGCGCTCCGCAGGCGCCGTGGAGTCCAGCGGGAGGGACTGGAAGACGGCGAGTCGGTCAGTCGGCCCACCTGCTGAAGCGGCAAATGCTGTGCCTTCACATTTCTCCCCACCGGGGGCTTGCGGTGCAGGGCGAGGGGCGGACGGGCGGGATAAGCTCCGAAATCGGACGGCGAGGTAATCAGCTCCAGCCCGGCCGTGCTGCTGGAAGGCTGCTGGAAGGCTGCTGGAAGGCTGCTGGAAGGCTGCTGGAAGGCTGCTGCAAGGCTGCTGGAAGGCTGCTGGAAGGCTGCTGGAAGGCTGCTGCAAGGCTGCTGGAAGGCTGCTGGAAGGCTCCTGGAAGGCTGCTGGAAGGCTGCTGCAAGGCTGCTGGAAGGCTGCTGCAAGGCTGCTGCAAGGCTGCTGCAAGGCTGCTGGAAGGCTGCTGCAAGGCTGCTGCAAGGCTGCTGCAAGGCTGCTGGAAGGCTGCTGGAAGGCTGCTGCAAGGCTGCTGCAAGGCTGCTGGAACACTGTGGCAAAAAGGTACGGAAAATTCTGTTAATTTTTTTGCCAGGATTCTCCGTAGCCCTCTTATCAATATTCTCCGTAGGCTCTTACAGTATTCTCCGTACGGCCGCACAGTATTCTCTGTAAGTCCGCACAGTCTTCTCCGTAGGACCTAGAAGACTGTATAGTCCTACGGAGATCACGGTAAGGTCCTACGGAGAATACTGTGCGGTCCTACGGAAAATACTGTAAGAGCCTACGGAGAATATTGATAAGGGGGCTACGGAGAATTACCACAAGCTGTTTACAGAATTTTCTGTAGCTTTTTGCCACAGTGAAGGCTGCTGCAAGGCTGCTGGAAGGCTGCTGGAAGGCTGCTGCAAGGCTGCCGGCACGCCGGGGCAGCTCCACATGTGTCACACGGCGGGCCGCGTCCCCAGCGTGACTCCTTCGGGGCGAGGTTCGCACTGCTTCGCACTGCTTCGCACACTTCGCACTGCTTCGCACACTTCGCACTCGCACGCGGCCGCCGCCTTATCGGCGCAGGAGGGAAAACCTTCACCTTTCGACGCGCCTCTGCCTCGCCGCGCCCACGCCGTGCCCTCGCGGAACGGCAACGTGGCGCCGTTTGAAAGGCGCAAACTCCATCACGGTTTGGCATTCGCAAGCACTTCATCAGAGCGCCGCGGCACCGTGGTGCGCCGGGCTCGGCGGCCCACACGTTTGTCACACGCTGCTGCAGCGGCAGGGGCCCGCGGCGCCGTGGAGCGTGGAGGCGGAGCGAGGCGGAGGCTGGCCGGGGACTGGGAGATCGACTTTCTCAATTTAGTGTTGAAAGGCTCTCAGGAACGAGCCGAGCGAGCGTGACCGGGCATACCAGGCAAGGGCCGGGCCTTGCCCAGGGCGAGGCGCCGCGCTGTGTGCCTGTAATTTTTACGCCGCGCGCCACACACGCCCTGCCGCGCCAGGACGCGGCCGGCTCGTTCTCGCCCTGCATCCAAGAAATGGAGGGAGGGCAATCACGCCGCCAGGGAGGGCCGCGGCGCGGGGTTCACGCCGGAGACGGCGATGTTGGCGGCGGATCGCCGCATCCGGCCCGGCCGAGGGGCCGGCCTGCCCGCGCACTGGCCGGCACTGGCCCACTGCCGCTGGGGTCGTGCCGGGGCCGGAGCGGCAGTGGCTGGAACCGCCGGGCTCGAGACGGGCTTGAACCTGCGACGCGGCGGTGCGCGCCGTGCGAGGCGAGGGACTGGCGTCAAGGTTCGGCAGGTCGGGCCAAATCTGCGTGCGCGGTTTGCAGACTTCTGGACGGGTCCCTCCACGCGCACCCGGCAAGGATGGCGTGGCTTTTACAGGGGCGACGCCGGGCGACGCACTCAGACGTATCCAATTAGGAAAGAGGGGACGGGAGGGCGCCGTCACTCGGACGGATCGCCGCCCGCCGGCCGGAGTGGCGGCGGGGGGGGGGGGGGGGGGGGGCATCCGCTGGCTTGGCGCGCATTTCCCCATTTTCCTCCGGAGCTGCAGCCGCGGTGCCAGCTTCCCCGCTTTCCCAGGCAGTAATCCGCCTAATCAAGATTAATATCGCCGGGACGCGCAAAGCGGTCGGCTTTCCCGGCTTTCCCGGCCTTCCCGCGCCCCTCCCTTTGTTTCACGGTTTCAACTTTGCCGCCCTTCATTTATTTCGGCCCCGATTCAGAGGTCGCTCTTTTCCACAAAAACGTCCAATTTATTACCTGGGGCGCCCCGACTCTCTGCCGATACAGATAGACGAGTCTCCCCTCCCCCTACACACACACACACACACACAAAATGAAGCCGACCTTTTTATCAATCACAATTAATCCTTGTGTATCGCAAAACGTCCACTGAAGTGTTGTTAATTGGGACTACAGTCAAACTCCAAAGGAAGCAACCGTTTCATTTTTTTGCTGCTTTTCGTCGAATTAACACATTTCCCCCGTTGGGTGCCTTCGTGTCGGCAGCCCCTCCGTGTGGGGAGTTAGTTCTCTTTTCCTATCGGTCCGGTCCGGCTTCTCTTCCCCGAACGACACGGGGTGGAGCGGGCCACGCCCACACACACACGCCCCAATCGGGATTCAAAACACGCTTGCTTTTCCGAGAAAAAAAAAAAATTGTCTCGATTTGGACGTTGCTCAGACAAATTTCGCAGCGAGACGGAGATGCTAAATTGAACAAGTCTTTATTCTCGTTATCGTTTTTTTAAATGTTCCGCATCCATTCGTCTCGGCGCCGATTCCTCCTTGGAGACGTTTCGATAATTGAATCTATAAGCTGGGCCACCCAGACGGGACGCGAAATGAATTGGTGAAAAGCAAGGGAAATAAAATGAAGAGGCGAGGAGGGAGGGGCAGATAGCTTGGAGGAAGGACAACAAGTGAGGCTTCATGCTCTATCTGTATCGCGGAGTAGTGTGGCCTGTACCTGAGACAGGATACGGCACGGAGCGTCGTGCATCGTCTCTTCGACATGTTCGGTAATTTCTCCTCCCCTCCCCGTCACTTTTTTCCTGGCTCTTTAAGGTGATGGTATTGCCACCCTGTTGATATTCACGACTGACTCGTTCACGAAGCAGAGGCATCCAATTATGCTGCATACTTTGCAGGCGCACATTTTCACCGCCATTCTAGGCCAGGAACGAAAAAAAAAAAAACTGCCATAACGCATCGCCCCTAAAAACAGAATTATTGACTGTTGGCAGGCTGCGCCGCGCACATTTCTCTGTGTTGCGTCCAATATAAGCGACGCGGGCAAGGAACCTTTTTTCACATCGGCTGAGTTCGAAATCAAATTCCTCAATGAAAAGAGAGCGCCGTTCCTCTCGCCTCGTTGGCTTCTGACTGAGGCCGCCGAGATGCTGGCCGGGACCAGACAGCGCATGCAAATTAGGTCGCTTCTAACGTAAGGACACCGCGATGGCGGCGGCGGTCTCCCCTCAAATAGCCCATTCCCTTTTATGGCAGCAATCGCATCTTCTTCGCCACCCCGCGCTCCTAGTGACCGGGGCCAGTGTGCGTCCACCGTCACACGTCGTCCCTCTTTCTTCTTCTTCTTCTTCTTCTTCTTCTTCTTCTTCTTCTTCTTCTTCTTCTTCTTCTTCTTCTTCTTCTTCTTCTTCTCTCCACCTCCCCACGAGGGGTGCCAACCAAAATAATCGATCAGACAGGCCACGTATTCAGCCTTGTAAACACAGGAATGGAACGAGGAGAGAGAGGGGGGGGGGAAATCACTTGACGCACATTCTGACTACGCCCACGTGAATAATTCCCTGTGCCTTGCTGCCCACCTTCAGACATGTTTCAAAAGCGCTTTTGACCGTTCGAAGAATAAGCGTAATTTTTGTTGTTGTTGTCGACAGTGTCCCTCAGGCCTCTGGCATCGATTTTGAGCACGTCCGAAATGCTGGTCCCTATAGGACGTGCGAAGACGTTTCCAAGCTGCGGCCTCTTCAACGTCGCTAATGAGGGGTGTGACGTGCGCGGGCACACTGGTGACGTGCACGGGCACACTGGTGACGTGCGCGGGCACACTGGTGACGTGCGCGGGCACACGGGTGACGTGCGGACGGGCGTGGTGGCGAGGTAGCCCTGGTGCGTCACCGTACCGAAGTCACCCTTCCGGTCGGTGACGGCGCTCGTTCCTCGCGTCGCGTCTCCTGGGTCCGACGATGCTCGCGATGGGATTTGCAGCTGTTAAAGACGGTATCAAGAATAAACTCGCAGCCAAGCTGCGTCCTGACGCGAAAAAAGGCCGGAAAAAAACACTTGTGCGGCCATTCGATACACACAGTAATCTGGTGAGAGAGATAGCGAAGATAGCGGCTCGCCGCGAGGTGAGCGGGCGGGGCGGGGCGGGGCGGGGCGGGGCGGGGCGGGGCAGGCAGGCCAAGTGGTGCCGGCATATTGTAGCGCGCTCAGTTTGGCGGCGAGCGTTGTCCTGGTAACTCGTCCACCTCAACCACCTCGACGTCGACATGGCGGTGGGACTCCGGTGCGGCAGCACCACCATCAAGTACCTCCTCTTCTTCTTCAACTTCTTGTTCACGGTGAGCATCGCTTGGGTGCAACGTGCGTTCCACGCCTGTTCGGGCCGCAGGCTGGTTTAAGTCAGTCAACGCCCACAGTGCTTGTCGTTACTTCCACCAGACCTGAAAAGGGTACAATTTTGTGAGGGGGCTCGCTTTCCGGACGGGTAGAAATTACATTAAACCATATGAATCTCTGAAAGTCTTTCAACGAAATTCCCTGAATATATCAAGGAAAATGGCACATAAAAAGTGAGAGACTTAGTTTTTCAGAGCAAGAGAGTGTGACACTATTTTCAACCTACGCAAGCTCGGTGTCCGAGAGCAAAGTCAAGCTAAATGTAGTTCGATCAAGTAATGTCACCCCATCTGAAAATTGCACCCCGTTTTAACGGTGTACACAGTGGAATGGCGGTGGGGGCCGGCGGCTGGCGGGCCGGCCTGTGTGACTCGCCACAGCGATAGCTGCAGATAAGACCTTCCTGCTGCGACGAGGGTGGGACGAGGCGCTAATATTTGTCCCGATATTTCTGCATCGTCTTTGCTTGTGCGCAGCTATGCGGGCTGGCCATCCTCGTGGTGGGCGTGATCTGCACGGGCGTCCTGAAAGGTGAAAATGTGGGCGCCCTCAAGGGTTCCGTCATCTTCATCATCGTGGTGGGTGCCACCGTCTTCATCATCGCCTTCTTCGGGTGCTGCGGCGCGGTCAGGGAGAGCCACTTCATGCTCACTGTGGTAAGCACCTCTTCGAAACTAGTCTTCCCACGTTCCGAAACGGGGCGATCTAATCAAGTTGAAACGTCCGCCGGCAGTTCTCGATCTTCTTGATGATCCTCATCGTCTGCCAAGTGATTGCCGCCGTCCTTCTGTTCGTCAACGTCAACGGGATCAACGATGCCGTAGGGGAGATCTTCAAGTCGGCCTTGAATGGGAACAATGACGCCATAATCGTCACCGACGAAATACAGAAGAACGTAAGCATGCCCGGTCACGGGTGGACTTTAGAGAAACGTCCCTTCTCGTGTTGCCTCTGTCTTCTTGAGTTTGTCATCATGGCTCAAGGCTACGGCAAAATCGATGACAACACCCGGTTAAAACTGCCTGTCTCTACAGTTCCAGTGCTGCGGCGCCACAGACCCCTCCAACTGGAAAACCATCCCCGTCAGCTGCTGCGCTGAAGGCGCTGCGACATGCACCCTGGCCAACGCGTACTCGAAGGGCTGCGTCAGCGAGGTCTCGTGGTACGTCAAGCAGTACGGCAAGGCTCTCGGCGCCGTCGCCATCGTCGTCGCGCTCGTCGAGGTACGTACCCACCGCCCTGCCGCCCTGCTGTCGATGGCGTGGCCCGGGGTTCTTCGAGGGCTATTTTCGCCCTTATTTCACTGCCCCGACACAAGTTTGTAATTCTTTTTGCATTTTCAGATCATCGGCGTGTGGTTCGCGTTGGCCCTAGCGGCAGAGATCAAGAAATTGTCGCGATAAGCCAAATGTAATTTTGTAATTTAACTTTATGTCATATTGTCTGGTCATTTTTAATTTAAGTTTAAAATAAAAACCCTTAAAGCAAATACGTAACCACGTAACATTTTCTCAAAAAATAGCGCCATTTGTTGTAAAGATCAAATGAATCTTTACGCTTTGCGGGTGTCGGATATCCCGTACTGTGGTGCTATCAGCAGGCCATCTTCAGCCGACAAGACGAGATTAGAAACTCGGATTATCATGACATACCGTCGAACCTCGGAGAGTCTTCGTGGCGCGGGCTTCGCAATCTCTAAGGACAAGTGTAGTGGGCGCAGTCCCGACAGAAGTAGGCATTGACGCACTCTCTGGCTGCATTGAGAGTGAATCAGTTTCTCAGAAAGACAGAACCGGCTTTCGCGGTGAACGTCATTCGACAGCGCGTTGCTCGTGTTGCCGCCCATGCCGCCCGCTCCATCTTTTGTGGCCCAGTCTCCTTAGCCGCCAGTAATTGCCCCCCCCCCCACACGCACACACACAAACGCACACACACGCAAACGTCCGGCTCGGCTTCGTAGGCTCTCTGTGGGTCACCCACCTCATCAAAATGCAAATTTTCGCGCCAAAACTCCTGCGTTCGCGTGCGCCGTATGCGCGTGTGTGTGTGTGTACTACGCGCGTGCGTGGATCGTGGATGTGCGTTTTCTTTCTTTATTTTTTGCTCAGGTTTGTACTTTTTTAGGGGGCCGGGCGATGCTTCTCATCCTGGGATTTAAATCGAGCCTCGAGGAAGGGAGGGTCGACCGTGTACTCCACTCGCGGAAGACTTGATGACCCCGCATGCGGCCGCAGTCCCGCAGCCCACCGCAGCCCGCGACGCGCCTTATACACCGCGTCCACACATTGATTCAAAGGACCGGCACGACCGGCACGGGAATAGGGAACAGGGCCGGGATTTGGCTTGGCTCGCCTTCGCCCCGCCTTCGCTCGCCTTCGCCCCGAGACCCTTTCCGCCTCAGTATGCGCGAAGCAAAGGCATCTCATCTGCGATTTGGCAGTAAGTGCGTCGTTCTCTCTCTCGGCTACGGGCGATCCGAATGCAGGCGAAGAAGAGGGCTTGGAGATAACGGCGGAGTGGAAGGGGGGGGGGGAGGAAAGGCGCTCAGCGTTTGTCCGCGAGAAGCTGATCGAGTTGAGATTAGCGAGTCCCGCATAAAGTTGCCTGTTTTGTCGATAGAGATCGCCTGGCCTGGCCTTGCCTCCGGAGCGGCAAAGAACATTCATACCGCCCGGCCGACGGCCAAAGGGAGGGACAGGCGCACCGCCACTGCAACGCAATGCAAAGGGGAAATTTGGAATAAAAGGGTGGGGGTGGCCTAGTCCAGCCGCGGCACGGGCGGTCTCGGGGCGGGTAGGCCTGGGCTTGGCCGAGCCGCCAGGGGCCAGCGCGCAGCTCGACAAGGTGCTCCGGACGGAAGGATGCGTCCGCTTTAAGGAGCTCGCTCTTTTTGTCTCGACCTTTTGTCCTTCTGTTCCGCCGTGACACACACACACACACACACACAACACACACACAAACACACATCCTAACGCGCGTAGTGTGACTGCTGGCGGTCCGGCCCAGTCGGCCATGAAGGGGCCCATGAAGGAGGAGATGCTCACTTGGCGACATAAAGTACAAAAACGCGCCTCGGCCATAAGTCTGGCGGTATGGCTCGGCTCGGCACGGCGCGGCACGGCGCGGCACGGCGGAGGGGGAGACCGATGAGCCGCGCGCGCCAAACAGGCCCGGAGTTTGTCTCACTTTGCGCGGCCCACTGCGGCCCGCTGCGGGGCGCGGCTGGACCATTCCGCGACGCCTCGCCGCGCCTCGCCGCGCCTCGCCGCGCCTCGCGGGACGACCTAGAGAAGCGGGGAGAAAGTGCGCCGCGCGGCACGAAGACAAGACGACCAACATCGCGACGCGTCGGCGTGTTTTGTCGGCGCGAAAAATGCGCCTCGCCTCGCCATCCCTTATGTACTTGGAGGGGAGGCCGCGCGCGCGCGCGCGCGTGTGTGTGTGTGCGTGTGCGTGTGCGTGCGTGTGTGTGTGTGTGTGTGTTGTGTGTGCGCGCGCACGTGGGTGTGTGTCGCTAGTCGTGAGTCAGGTCGGACATATCGCAAATCTTTATTCCCGCTGAACAAAGCGACAAAGGGACGGTACGAGTGAACATCCTGGTGCGCCGTGTGCGACTTGACTGCCGCGCTGCCGCCTCGGCGCCTCGGCCCGCTAATTCCGCCAGGAGCCGTGGAGGGCGACGCTCGCGACGCTGGCTGGCTGCTGGCTGGCTGCTGGCTGCCTGCTGCCCTGCCGCGCTGCGGTCCATCCGCCGCCAGGCAGCCAGGCAGCCAGGCAGCCAGCCAGCAGCCAGCCAGCAGCCAGCCAGCAGCCAGCCAGCAGCCAGCCAGCAGCCAGCCAGCCACCCGCAGCGCGGCGTCAGACAGGCTGAGGTCGGGGTTCCTTTGTCTTAATTATGAGGACACCTTTCTCCTTGCCGCGATGACAGTTGTTCCTTCCTTTCCCTGCGATACGCACCCCGCCCCACCCCGCCATCCGCTTCATCCATTATTCAGGCTTTCCAGGTGATAGCTTCTCGTCGCGTTGAGTCGGCGCGGGGCGCGGCGCAGGGCGCAGGGCGCAGGGCGCAGGGCGCAGGGTGCAGGGCGCAGGGCGCAGGGCGCAGGGTGCAGGGCGCAGGGCGCAGGGTGCAGGGCGCAGGGCGCAGGGCGCAGGGCGCAGGGTGCAGGGCGCAGGGCGCAGGGTGCAGGGCGCAGGGCGCAGGGCGCGGCGCGCGAGCTTGCCGACAGATGTTGACTTTTTGCGACACCTCACTGCCTCCGGCTTCACGGCGTCCGGGCCCCGGGCCTCCCTCCGGCAGCACGGCCAGCACGGCCACTTCCGCGTTCCGGGTGCTGCAGCTTCATCGGGCCGAGCAAAGCCTTTAATTCGCACCTTCAGCGATTTCACAAATTTTCCTTCTGCGCGTTGCGACAGGTGCGTTCCGACTGACTTCCCTTCCCTTCCGCTGTCGTGGCGTCGCGACAGTGTAATCTCCCTTCCGCGGAAAAATAAAACGAATTACTCTGATGGATCCATTTCGCAACAAGAGGCGTCCGCGACGGGTGGATGACTTGCGCGCGTCTGGTTGGCCCCGACAGTGGCGCCACCTTCCCGCCGGCTGCTTGAAACCAATTTAGCAGCTTTCAGTATAAGTTGACATTTCTCTCGACGCCAAGTCCCCGTGACAGCAGCCGCTGCCTTCGCCCAGCTTCACCCCCTCCCTGGCAAATTGACCCTCCCCCTTTCGCTTGCCACTTGGCGGCTGGGCCGGGCTGGGCCGGGCAGGGCCGCCCCCAGCACCACCAAGTCGGTGGCCTGCTCGGCCTGGAACACGACATAAGGCCGCGCCCCGCCGAGCCGCACCGCACAGACATACGTCAAGGGGCCGCGCGGCAATGCACGGGGCTAATCACAAGTTGAGGCCAAACTTCTTGGGAACGCGGCGCTTTGACAACGTCCTGTAACGTGCTTTCACACACGCACACACACACACACTATTCGCCTTGACGTCACACACACGCAAGCTCACACTCACACATGTATGCACGCACAGCTTCGGCACGAATGTTATTGACGGTTCCGCGAGTTCCGTTGATGCGTCAACTCGATCAGGCCGCCCTGCGCGAGTGTGTGTGTGTGTGTGTGTGTGTGTGTGTGTGTGTGTGTGTGTGTGTGTGTGTGCGTCTGTATGAAGGTGTGAGTGCGAGTCTGTTTACGAGAAGTCCGCGAAGGTCACGCGCGTGCCGCGCTCGAGGTTCCACTTATTCCTGGCAGCGAGAAATCAATTCTTTCCGGGAACCGCAGAGCAAAAGGAGAGAACGACGCAAGCGGACAAACGCAACTCAGACAGGGAGGGGGATGCGGTGCGAGTGTTCTGGAAATTGTGACCGTCCAATTATTACGTAACGCAGTTTCCCTTGTTTTTGTTTCCCGCGGCGGGGCCGGCCGAGGCCGCGGCCTGCTTCGGGTTGGCCGCGTTGGGCGTTCCGCTGGGCATCGCCGCGGCGTTGCGGCGACACATTTTAAATAAGCCTGTCAGGCGTGAGTTACACGGGGCACTCTCGGGGGGACAAAAGGAGGACGAGAAAGGGGATAGGAAATGCTTGCCGGGCCACCCGGCCACCCTGCTTTCACGTCGGTCCGTCGCCCTCTACACGACGGCCGCCTGGCCGCCTGGCCTGGGCACAGCACTCTTCCGCCTCAAACAGAAATGCAACGCGAATCAAACCGATACCTACTTAAAAGAACAGCTCAGTCTTCAGAGGGGTTTGAAAAGCAGCTTTGTCTTCAAAGGTATTCCAACAACCACACAAAACCCAAGGATGGTAAAATTTCCACAATCGAGGGCGGTATTCGTTTTACCGCCTTTCCAAGTGAGGTATTCGTTTTACCGCCAATTGAAGGCGGTAAATTACCACCTCCCACAGTTTTATCGCCTTGAATGTTCCTTTTGGAGGGAAATTTAAGGCGGTACACCGGTGAAAGGTGGTAATTTTACCGCCTTCAATGGGCGGTAATTTTTGTACCACACTCCGTGGCTATTTATCCACCCGTAGTGCCGATATCGTTAAAGTTAGAGCATGTGTGTATGGAGTGATCCAAGCATTTTAATTTGCTGAGCGAAGTGAAGCACCCTGTTTGGGATTTTGAATAGCTCATTTGTCCGACCCCCCCCCCTGATACCTTTAGTTTACTAGAGGTATCTTCCTCTGTTTATTTTTACTACATTCATATGCGTATAGTCGAAGCTCCATAGTCCAGACGCTATGGTCCAAACTATATAGTCCATCCTCTATAGTCCCAGCTCAATAGTTTAAACTTTATAGTCCAAGCTCTATAGTCCAAGCTCTATAGGCCAAGCTCTATAGTCGTAGCTCTATAGTCCAAGCTCTATAGCCCAAGCTCTATAGTCCAAGCTCTATGGTCCAAGCTCTATAGTCCAAGCTCTATAGTCCAAGCTCTATAGTCCAAGCTCTATAGTCCAAGCTCTATAGTCCAAGCTCTATAGTCCAAG